CAGTAAGCATGTTATACTCCAAAAAAATTAATTAGAACAAAAAAAAATAATAGACTTTATGTGACTTTGTGTTCATCTTACCATTTCCAAACCTCTCCTGTAGGAAGCCCAGTATTAATGGTGGTTATCACCCAACACCTGGTTTGTCTAATCAGTGCTTCATTAAGTTAAATCAGCTGTGTTAGTGAAGGAATTTATCAGTGTGTTGGCTGGGGAAGTCCAAGACTGGGTTGCACCAGTTTTGCGCAGGTTTATACATAAAAGTTTGTGCATAAAGTTTCTACTCAGTCCTAGTCAACACTACTTACCCCAGCTATCCACAAATTCTTAAGTCATGTCTTAACTAGTATTATACAACAGTTAGTTCCGGCCGCGCAAGCTGATTGGTTGAGAAGCGTTCCAACCGTGCTGTTATTTCGTCATAACATCACGTTTTTTTCACAAACACTGTATCACTCCGCTGAGACGTTGTTGCTAAGCAATGACTTTGACAGCTGTAGGTCACGCTCAAGTCATTTGAACATGTTTACTTCTTACCTTGTGAACAAACAGAAAATGGACACTTTTAAGATCACATTTGACCCACAGCCGATTTGATCGGACTCTGAAGATGAGACTACACTAAATTCCCAAACTGTCATCACCACTGAGCAGCTTTTCAGTCGGCAGCTGTAACAGAAGAACAGCTAAACAACCTGGAATTAGCCAGAAATGAACTGAATACCATTCGCCAAACAAAATGGGCTGTAAGATGCTTTACAGACTGGCTGAAACAAAACAACATTAATATTGATCTAGCAAAAAATGACAACACTGAGCTAAACTTCATATTGTGGCAGTTTTATGGCTCAGTCTCATTTGGTCAGACTCTGAAGATGAAACTACATGTTTGGCGAATGGTATTCGGTTCATTTGTGGCTAATTCCAGGTTGTTTAGGTGATCTTCTGTCATAGCTGCCGACTGAAAATCTTGCTCAGAGGTAATGACAGTTTCAGAATTTAGTGTAAGGAGTTGGAGAACGAACTGCTGGCTGTGCAGTGAGTGAGCGGAGTTCGTTGCTCTGACGTAGCAACAAGCTGTTTGTTAAGGAATTATAATTTGGTGGAAGGAACTGCTGACATTAAAACACATTAAATGCCACGTTCACAGCCCAATTTATTTATTTCTTACTTTATTTATTTAACTGTTGTATAAAAGCAATAGAACACTCAAGGTTGTGTGTTATTGCTATAACGCGATATCGCGATAACACACTCGCTCTCGCATTCTATTGCTTAAACAATTTACAAATGCATACGTCGCTTTATCATGACTATGTGTTCAGAATCTATAAACCGGTAAACGCATTACCACGGAAACATGCTGGCAGCTTGTGCTCACTTTTTCCATTGATAGAATATAAAAGAGAAGAATGTGCACAAGTTGAACTGGATAAAACTGAATAGCTGCAGCCACTGTCTATTCATCCTTTAAAACTATCTTGTGATAGCCATATATGCAGTTTTTAAAACAACGCTTGTTGTGGCTAACCAACACAACAGCAGCATCAGTTTAGATGTTCCGGCAGCTGTTCTCACTGAGTCTCACTGAACTGCATCTGTAAGTGTTAGCTTCATGTTGGGGGTTAAAACCAAGGCAATGATTAGAGCTGTACTTAAAATTAGTGTTTAGCTTCTAGTGTTTTTAGCTTAGTTAACCATCTTTCTGTGTTTTTTGTTTTTTTCCCAGCACTTACAACTGCTTAGGAGAAAGTGTAACTATTTAGTAACGACTAAGCTTGATGTTAAGACTAGTTTGTGTGGTGCAACCTGTTTTGATAAAGTAATGCATAAACCTGAACATTAAACACTTATGTTACAACTGGCCTATATTTGAACTTACGTACAGCTGGTGCAACTTACAAAAACACACCTTCCTACTTATTTGTACAATTAATTATTTGTTTAGGTGTCTAAATCTTCTGCACAGCACTGTACGCTTCCATTACTTGTTAGTTACATTAACCTCATAGTTCAGACACAAAATTACAGAAGCAAACCTCAGATACCAAACCTATCTTGGCTGGTCAACTACCTTTGGGGTAAGGGGAGTACTGTTTACATTTCCTTCAGCAGAGGGGAGTTCTGATATACTCCAGTTTAATTTTCAAAGAAAACTTTAGGAGTACTTTCAGTATATTGCAACTGCACTACAATTGCTGTTAATAAAACAGCATCACAGAGGCAGGACTGCATTTAGCATTTATTAAGCCTGAATTAGAAACTGGACACCAACTGCGGCACTGGCTGATCCTCAACACTTTTCTGCTGGTGAGACTTTTTGACTTATAAGCAGTAGCAGTAGATGGGAAAAAACGATCTCAACAAATAGCGGGAAATCATCGTTTTTTGCAACAGAACCAGAGGAGTCGGCTCTTGGCAGCAGAACAGGGCATATCAGTACCCTTGGTGACAGGCTCTTCTCTACCCTCCTGTCCTAGAGAGGCTTGGCTGATGTCCAACCTCAGCATCCTCTGCCTAGCCAGCAGAAGGGAGGCCATTTATCTCTGGACAGCCACAAGGCCCATCATACAAACATCAGTCTACTGGCCCTGCCACTCAGCCTTTGTTCAGCCATCAAGGCTTCTCCTCTCCTATTGCTCTGGCAGAGATGGACACTGCCACACCTAATCTGCTTACACCTGTCCAGCAGGTTATCTACTGCTCACACACTTCCTAAGTATGGTTAGGCAGCACATACCAAAAGGGTAATAGCATTGCCCCACACAAGTCCTGGGAGAATGAATTCACAATGGCAGCCATCCCCTGGTAGCAGATATCAGTTAACGTGTCTAGAGGACATCTCCATGCTGCGTCAGCCACTGTAGAGAGAGCAGCCCATCTCCACAGATAATCTTACGTCAATATCACTAAACTACTATGCTATGCTGTATATCATTTGAAAACTTAGATGCATTATATGCTTAATAAGTTTATGTATATAAATATTAAACAGAAAACTTCTGAATATTGAAATATGCACATTATTTAAATCACCACATACAATTTAAAGCCCCAGTGGGTAAAACAGGGTGCATGTATTACAGCACATTCCATTCCAGAAACAATATTTTATTCTTGAGATATCTTAAGATGCCTTGGTAAAAAGCATTCTTTGAAGAATTGCTATAGAAGAACCACTTTTGGAAAAAACCTCTGAATATACAGTTCATTAAAGCAGTGGTAAACCGGACATCACCCCAAACAGTCCACATTCTTGCTCTGTCCATATGTGTTGGGAGTTGGGATTGAGCCAAAATGTGGACCATCACGGGGTCCCTGAAGACTGGTTTGAGAAACCCTGCTATGAAAAGACAAAAAAAATTGTATAAATTGAGATGTGAGAGAGAGGAACCATTTAGGAAACCTTACTTTTAGTAGTCAAAAACTACTAATCCCTTTAGTGAACATCAACCATAACATTAACATGTATGCATTATAATTTCATGATACAATACATATTGTATTTATTTTGTCATGATACCATAGATTTTTTTAAATAGAATCAGAAAAGAAATGCAAACATAATTTACACATTTATTTACTTATTGGTAACTTCCCAAATATCTTTTTTGTGTTTTGGTAAGTATCAGTCCCATAATGACTACAGTACTTTTTGAAGGGATAACTGCCACAAGTCATTTTAAATCTCAGCAGAACAAAAGTTCAAGATCTATATTTGCACATTATTATGGCTCATAAAACGAGAAGTAAACAAAAAATACAGATCATAAGGTTATGAGGCTCCTACCTTCTGGCTGAAATAAGTGTGAGAGGAGATTTCTAACATTTTCTAACATAACTTCTAGGAAACTGCGGAATCCAGGACTCTCTACAACCAAGCAGTGGTGCAAATCGGAAGCTATCCACATATCTGTCGAGCAAGTTATTTGTTTCACCCATTCAGAATTAGCACTTAGTGGGTTCTTGAATCCTGAGAGGAGAAGTAGCTGTAGTGAAGTTTCACCAGCTTTTTACTCAAATTTATTCATGCATTTTACAAGATCAAATTCAACTACTCGATTCATAGTGTGTATTGAAAAAAATACTATTAGCATCCACACTGTTTAAACCCCTAACATATGAATGGCTGGATAAACAGATACAGCACTGTAGGGGACTGCAAACTGGCAAACTGCACCTCCACACTTTAGAGCACAAGTAAAAAGGAAGTCAACGAACATGCAGCTAATGTAGGGAGAGCATGAAAGACAGAAACGTGACATCCATCATAACTCTGGCTTAAATATGCTGGGAACAGATGACATAGCAGAACTTCAAAGCTCAATGCTGATATACTAGATGACTATGCCAAGATTTTGGGTGACACAGACTTCCATTAATTGTTAGCCACATTAACCACGTAGCTCCAATGGAAAACTAAAGAAGCAAACTTCAGATGCCAAACAATCTTGGCTGATCAACTGCGTTTAGAGTAAGGGTAAAATTGTGTAAATGTGATTTTTCGTTGACCTATTCCTTTAAAACTATGAAGCCCCTGAAGAACTGCCTGATTTTACCTGCTGGGCCAAACCAGTGATGATGGAGAGCAGCAGCTCACGACTTATTGCAGCAAGGAACTCGTAATGACCAAACACTGTAAAACTGTAAAACCGAGCACACAAGACCCATTACCTGACCAGCACCATTAAAGAGGGACTGCCACATTTGCACCACTCTGCTGATTCCTGAATGAAGCCACTGGAACATGAGCATCTCATTAGTATCTCTGCTTGTAAATGTCACTCACAAGGTGGCCACACAGGCACCATATAACCAAGCAAGACGACCATCAGTTGAGCTTAAACCGTTAACTGAGAGGCCTGGCTCAGCCGTAAATGAGGCAAATTCATTCAGCCCTTGTAATAGATAAGGACAGGTGAACACTGATGAGACCATCTGGAGAATGCCCAACGCACAGCATGCAATATAACAGAAACCACAGAACAGGGACTACTTACACTGAAGCGTTGAGCAATTGTCCATTGGACTATGTGAGCAAAGCGGGTTTTATTCCAGCTGGAATCGTGGCCCTTGGTGCTGGGATCGAGGAGGGAGCGCTTGCAATCCACAGAGCATCACATCAGTGTGTCTTCGGCTTGCACTGATCGCAGCCCTGCAGCACCACAAAACGCGTCTCTCTTCTAATAAAGCAAGACCAGACCCACATGATCTGCTCCACAGCGAAGAAACCACTCTGATCAGCTTCAGCACTTCACAACACGCATATCAGTACACGAAGCGCCTCCCGAGCCGCGGCTTTTTCAGTCTCCTGTGGAAGAATCTGAGTTCATGTTCAATTTATGAATCGCAGGCTGATCGCAAGATACAAATAAGGCACGAACGTCTCTATCAGCTCGTGCTGATCTCGTCACCCCTCGTTATCAGTCCGTTTGTCGCCATCTCGAAGCCGTTTTTAGTAACAGCCATCGCGATATATCTCCAGCTTGGTGAACTAGCAGCCGCGTATTATTCACCGCGCCGCGGACGCAGCGACGCTTTCGCCGCCTTATTTTTTCCCCACCCGTTTTCTCACAAAGCCCCGCCCCCTGCGCTGCGATTGGCGAACAGGTCGCACTCAAGAACAGTCTGCCAATCATAGCGCAGGAGGCGAAAACGACCAGCCAATCCCAGAGCAGGATAAAGCTGGCAGGCGGACTGACGATGAGTTCGAACTATTAGCCAACCCCAGCGTTGTCTTAGGGGAGTCTAGTCAATCGTAGCGCAGGAGAACTTTAGCCAATCGTAGCGCAGAAGGCGGGGCTATGACGGAATACGAGTGGGGCGAAGCATGCGGGAAGGAAAGGAAGGGGAGTGCGGAGGAGGTGAGAGGAGTGCCTGCGTTTATGTCAGTGCGTGAGAGGGGGAGGGAGAGGGAGGGAGGGAGATAGAGAGAGAGAGAGAGAGAGAGAGAGAGAGAGAGAGAGAGAGAGATTTATCAGAACCGTGGGACTGTCCCTGCTCTGCTCCACACGCCCACGCCTACACGTTTTTGTCCTCTCATTGCATTTCTCCATCACTTTCTATGCTACTCTAATGAAAAGGGTTTCCCTGCGGGAAAACAGGTTATTCTCATGGGCCAAAGGAGTCATGGTTTAAACACCTGATAGCCCTATATTCTCAAGTTGATGTAACACAAGGCTGTTTTTAAACTTTTAAGGACATACGTTCCCTTCTTGTCAGTTTATGCAGAATATTATTTGAGTTGGCTCACTAATCCTGAGCTTTTGCCTTGGTCAGCTGATGTTAGTTGGTCGGCTACAGGCACACAGCATTTCGTAATGTACTCTGTAAAATCAACTTTTTTTTTCTCTGCGGCAGACTAGTTAACCAAATCCCAGGGCTGTCAGAAACACAGAAACATACCAAACAAACCCCCAGCATTTTCTGGGTGAGGATTCCGTATTTCTTTTTTAAGCCCAGACCATAGGCCAGTGGTCACCAACCCTCCCCTTGGAGACCTACTTTCCTGCTGAATTTATTCCCAAACTGTGTCTAATAGGCAGCCAATCAAGGACTTAGGAAGAGGTTAATTGTGGTTGGAACGAGACTCTGCAGGAAGGTTGATAGCCAGGACAAGTGTTGGCTGCTAACTGTGAAACTCAAAGCATCTATTCCTTTAGCAACCACTCTCCATATTTACTCCAGCCACCTCACTTTAGGCAGTCTGACATCAGACCATTCACCTCCTTCTCCGTCTCCATGACATACATAACAAAAGCCTGGCATTTACAGCATATATGGGAACAGGCCCAATAACAGCAAAACAGACCAAGAGTGGACAATGGTGTGTAACTACTAGGGGAGCAATCACATTGTGTACACAATGGGTATGGAATCACAAAGGGGGCACAGCAACCGTATTGGGCCCTCTCATGCAGTGCTGCTTAAAAGTTTGTGAACTCTTTACCATTATGTGAATTTCATGTCACAATAACAAATAAAGTTTACCCAGTAAAACAAATAACACAAACAATTATATAGTTTTTCATTTATTTATTCAACAAAGTAATCCAACATTAAATGCCTTTGTTGCCTAAAGGATGTGAACCTCTGCTTTCTGGTGTTAACTGGTGTTAGCCCCTTAAGCAGCAATGAGTTCAACCAAATGGCTCCTCTAACTGTTGATCAGCCTTGCACGCTGACTTGAAGGAATCCCAGCCCATTCCACATTACAGAACTGCTTCGACTGTGTTATGTTGGGGGCTTTCTTGCATGAACTTTCTTAGGTGCTGCCACAACATTTCTCTTCGATTAAGGTCTGGACTTTGACTCAGCCATTCTAAAATGTAACATTTCTTTTGCTTCATCCATTCTTTGTAGATTAACTGGTGCTTTTAGGATTAACGGGCCTCATTCAGCAAACATTCTTAAGAAGAAATTTCTTCATAAAACCCACTTACACAGTTTTCACAAAGATTCCAACATTCACCAATGTTTTCTTATTTGGGATTTGTTCTGAGATAAGAGCAGAACCTACACACTCTCAAGAGCACAAAGGTGCAAACAATTCTGCGATTGAAGAAAACGTCATGAATCTGACGTAGACCTTTTCTTAGCACCTTTCTCAAGAACACATTTAAGAAGAATGAGGCGAATGAGGCCCACTGTCTTTCTGCAAGGCTCACCATCTGTTGAGGTTCAGTTTATGGATGGATGCCCTAACATGCTCCTGAACAATGTCTTGATACAATGAATTCATAGCTCCATCAAATGACTGCAAGCTGTCCTCTTCCCATAGTAGTAAAACAGTCCCAAACCATGACACTGCCACCACCATATTTCAAAGTTTTTAATGAGGCTCGTTTAAAAATCTATTTCTGCCTTACTGGTCTGCATAACATTATTTTAGCTGTCTTGGATCATCCAGGTGGTCTTTAGGAAACTTTAAACAGGTAGCAATGTTCCTCCTGAAGTGCAGTGTCTTTCTTTATGCTTTCATTCCATACATACTGTTCTTGATCATTGTTTGCCTGATGGTGGACTCATGAACAGTCATGTTAGCCAGGGTGAGAGGCCTGCAGATACTTAGATGTTACCCTGGGGTCCTTTGTGATCTCCCAGAATATTATACACCTTAATCTTGGAGTAATTTTTGTCGCTCCTGGGAAGGGTAACAGCGGTGTTGAATTTCCTCCAATTGTACACTATCTGCCTCACAGCGGATCAGTGAAGTACACACTATTCAGAAATTCTTTTGGAATGTCCTCCAGCCTAATGAGTATTGACAAATGTTTGTCTGAGGTGCTTAGGAATCTCATTTGACTGAGACATGGCATGCACTAACAAATGTATAAAAAAAACTATATAATTGTTTGCGTTAATTGTTTTATTGGTTCTCTTTATCAAGACTTCAATTAGATATGATCTCATTTCAGCTCAAACCTATGCAGAAATGCACAAAATGTCAAAGGGTTCACAAACGTTCTAGCAGCACTGTGTTTAGATACTGACACAACTGTAAAGAAGAAAGATCCAGTTTCTTAATAACATACCTCACAGGTTAGCTTCCATCAACACTACAGAGACGGCCCTGACGTTTATTCATCTCCCTCTTATTCATAATGCAGCTCATCCATGGTAACTGTTTTCAAATGGATCCTTCACAACCTGCAACATGATATATTCATTATTCATCATTTTTAAATCCTAAAAAGGGGGAATTCCACCAATATTTCAAAACGTCTGCATAGTTCAATGATTGAGATATAAACAAAGTCATTCAGAAGGGTTTGACATGAAATGGTACACTGTAGAAAAACTTATACACTTAGATTTTTTTTACAGTGGTGGTGGTGGGAACCAGAGGGTTCATGATGGCTCCATCGCAAATACATTTTATTTACTATCCAAAATGACCAGTGACTCTAGGTGTGCCTGCTGAGTTTTTATGTTTAATGTTGATGATGATTAAATAGTGATAAATGGGAAAAAAATCAGTCATCTTTGGCAAGTATTTTGCCTTACAATGCCTTACATGTACCTGCGCCATGAATGATTTTTAAAAATATGTTTCAGGTCAAAAGCTTATCTCACAACTATCATAAAACAATACATGTTTTTAGTCCAGACCATAGACTGTGGTTCAGACCATCTTCCTCACTGTAATCAATGTATAACAAGGCTATAAGACAGCATACTCATAACAATGTAATGTAATAACTTGCTGTGAGTTTTTAGAGGCATTAAACTCCTTGGATGTCTGGTTCCTATAACCACCAACGTGAAGTATTCTTGGTAAGTTTATGTAAAACAAAACATTTCATATCGAACCACTCTGAATGACTTTGTTTACATCTTAACCATTTACTTATGCAGAAAAATCAGTAGAATTCTCTTTTAAACAAGAATATTAAGGATTTTTAAGGTTAGATGCTCATGGGTGGAGTGGCATACCTTGAAAACACTTTTTGAGACATAATTACAAGCTACACGCAAATTAAACTGTCATTTTTTATTGACTTAAATGAGTTTTCGTATATGAGACTCTTTTTTTGTGCTGGGGTCCATAGGATCCTAGCTGGGCAGAGCTCCCTTCCATGTCCACACTGTTTTAATGCTAATACTTTTTACTTTATTAGGATAAAAATCTGCTCCACTGAACACTATCCATGAAATTCTGCTACAGTTCTATTGCAACATATTTGCATCATTTTTTAAAAGAAGCTCAGACAAATGCCTTTTTCCAGATAAACGGTAATGGATGGAAAGTAACATTATCTGGGATTCTATGCAGTAGAAGATTCAAACCACATTCTGACAGAATAGATGACGTTGGACCAGAAGCTTTTACCCATAAGAACAAGTAAAAAAAAACTAAATTGCCCAAGCTTAGTCAGGCCCTGACTTCTGGGAGGAAAACTTAATAATAATGCTTTGAATAACTTGTTCTTTAAATTGGCCCTTTAAAAAGAAGTAAGGCTAAAATAACTTCACTGGTACATTCTTCACTTATGCAGTGAGTTTTCTTCTGTCAAGGCTGACAAACCA